ACTTCTTTCAGTAGGATTCGAACCGACGATCACCACTGACTCAGCCAATTGCCTACGCACAGTGCTAAGTTTGTCTTGTTTCGACTTTTAAAGTGCGAAACGACATAAGTTCATTACTAAATGAGACAGTGACTCTTGTTAATTTAAATTTGCATTATTTTCTATTTTTTCTAAGTTAAATAATGCCTTGCTCTTGTGGCCATAAAGTTGATCGCTCTCAACTAAAAAATAAAATTCAGTGCGCGAAATGCAGCGAATTGTTTCGTTTGTCATGTGTTGGTTTGCTGCCATCAGATGTAGAATTTCTCTTGAGCTCGGATAAGAGTTTTTATTGCAAAGCTTGCTCGAAGTCTCGCCGTGATTCTATCCGTTCGCCTCCACCCATCGTCATTTTAGATGGCGGGGCTACCAACATCTCTAACATCACCGAATCTGGTTTGTCTACTAATGCGACTGTGAAGTCGTTTACCACCGTTAAGCATCGCGACAACAATACCAATGAACCTAATAACAACCAGCAAATAACATTGGGTTCTGTGTACAATGTGATCGTGTCTCTACGAGCGGAGAATGCACATATGCTCAATGCCATTACTGCCCTGTGCGAAGAAAACAAGAATTTAGTGAGTATAACAGAAATTATGCATTCTGATATGCTTGCTATGCAGCGTACTCTGCAAGAAAAAGATGATGTGATTACATTACTCAAGACTGAGTTTAACGACCTACGTTCGTGTGTTAATGCTGCTGTTGACAAGTTGGTTGATTATAACAAACCTATTACTGTGGCTACTGCTAATGCTTGTCTACCCACACTGCAAATTTCTCCCGATGCTTGCTACTCATCTGCGTCTGTTGATGGTTTGCCGATCAACTTGCAGTCACCTGCTGTCGTCCGTGACGCGCTCTCTTCTGCTTGCTCTCTGTCGGTTCCCGCCAATGCTTTATCATCAGCGGTTAAAGAATCTACTTCTGTTGATGCTCTACTGTCCAACATGCAATCAGCTGCTGTCGATAATGTTGCTCTCTCTTCAGTTAATTTCCCTTCTTTACCAGGTGCGTGTGCTGGTGCTGGTACTGTA